CTATAAAAGTCACTTTTTTAGAACCTATGTAGGTCATGCATCATCCTAGGATGTGGTTTGGCCTGAGAGCATGGCTAGAAGACATCACACAAAATGGACATGGCTGAACCAGTTACCATAGTGGTGGAGTACTGGAAAAGGGAATTAGAGGCTCTTGCAATTGAGGGAGCAAAAATAACCTGAAGCAATGTGTCTTATCCTGAGTGTATCACAGTCTCTGTGGCCTGGTTGATGAGAGAATTTCCTGTCTTCCTTTTTTCTTTGGACGTCCTTACAATAAATTGCATTACAGAAGTAACCTGAGTAGGACTTTTTCTGGCACTATAAAAGTGCCTAGGAAGCTAAAATGTATGTGTCTGTGCTAATCTCTGAGTATATGATGGAGACCAGAAAGGGCTCACATGTTAAAAGAGGGAGGAAAGCACATAAAGATATTGGAATGTTATAGGCATGGTAAAAGAAGCATGTACAGGATGCAGTGTTGGCCCAGTTGGGGGAAGGAAGGCAATTCTGGAACAGTAGGTAGAGTTTTGGACATATAGTATTGGTTCAAATTCCAATTGTACCACTTATGGTACATTTAGGAATCATTTATGCCCTGAAAGTTTCTTTATTTGTAAAATGAGGGTACTTCTATTTACCTTTCCAACTCCTTGGTTGTCTCAATTTTAAGTCCTCAAACTCACTTGGAAGCTCACCAACCACATTAAAGTTGCCAATTAGCGTAGAGATGAGAAATAGACTTGGTAAGAAAGATAAATTAGAAATTCATTCATTCATTCATTCATTCAAAAATTTTCATTGATAAAATATTATGTGACAGGCACCAGTCCTTTGTGTGCAAGACAAGTTCCAACCTGTTATGATGTGTATGTTCTAGGGAGAATAATAGGATGTAAGATATTCTGTAGCAATCTAACTTTTGGGAAATTGCTCAAGTTTTTCTGGGCCTAGCTTTCTATTTTAATAATTTCTCTTTGAGAGAATATGATGCTTTTATATAAAATATGTGGTACTAAGCCATTACATGTGCTTATTGCAATTTTAGAATCCATATTTTTCTTTTCCGTGCTGACTGTATTTATAGTAGTAGCTACGAAACTAGGCTATTTTTTGTCTCTATGACTTAGCTTTTTGAAGTCTGTTCTCGAAGTCATTTGCACACCTGGGACCAACTTAGTAATAAGCAGTTCTCTCCTGAATAACACTTGTAAAGATAGTTGAGTAAAGCCGTTGCCATCCTCATAGGGATAGGGTAGTGATGCCAAGTTCAAGCCTAATTATACCACTTTTGTTTATAATTGAAGGTATATCAAGTAGTGGCATTTTAGTTTGTAAGCCGTGTAATTTTCTGTGTAGAAAGGAAGGGCAAACATTTCTCATGCAGGTAGTCTCTGCAAGTTTCATTCCAGGCATTCCTTTCACAACCCCTGTCATCAGAGCTGCTCTCTGAGCGAAGAATTCCAGCTGTGATTTCACTTGGGAAAAGGAAGGAGAAGTCATTGCAGCTCAAACCACAGTTTCACTGCTGTCTGAGCAACGCCTCCCTGGATCCCTAAGGACTAGAAAGGAGCGCTAACACTAGGAACTCAGGATTGAGAAGTTCTCTGAAAAAGAGAAATATCTTTAAAAAAGGGAAAGCGTCACAGAGTCTCAGGAGCCATGAAATATTTTCAGTGTAGCACTTTTAACTTGTAGTTCTACGAGCAGATATTATTGAGAAGACTGTATTAACGTTATGGGTCATGCTATGGAAATCATACTAGGTACCTCTTGGGATATCAAAGTTTTTTTAAATACACTGTGGACTGTCCAGGAATTTGAAGACAAAAATATAAATTTTCCCGCTTGGTTTAAAATGTGTTTTGTAATTCCTTAGTCACTTATACCAACAAAAAATAACGTAGGTGAGATACGCTGCCGTGTAAGCTTTGTTGTGATGAGGACATCAATAGTTTCTGTAACAAGTGGTACTGAAACCAATCATTTAATGCTATTTAGGGTATTCTGTTTAGTACAAATAAAAAACCAAATCAGATGAGGTGGTTTTTTTCATCAGCTTGTACCTCTAGAAATTGACCTAACAATAAAATAAATGAATACAAATTTCTGTTCCACATGTCAGAATCACATTGTTTTATATGAGAACTAAATTGATAAGTGGCTAGGTTAGTTCTAAATATTTTAAATTTTGATGCCTGTTTTCAACTTACAGTGAGATAATATCTATATGTTTAGCCACCTATCTTCTCTGCTTTACAAGAATCAGAATATTGAATTGAAGTGTTTACATCTCATATGTAGCATGAATGATCACCATATGTGCATAAAAATTCTTATCTGATAAAATCTACATGGCTGTTTTTTATGATCTTATCAACTTGATAAAATATAGGCTTCTCACAGCTAATAACTGTTCTGCCTTAAGTGATTTCTTCCTAGTAAAACATACCATCCATAGCATTACCTGTATCTTTAGGTTCTCCAACCAAAGTTATAAAAATAATATTTGAGAGTCAGACATGAACTTCCATTACATAACTATTCAGTAGAGATAATGATAGAATCTCAGAGTTTCTGCATTGGAAGAAACTTAGTGACATCATGTCTAACCATGCTTCCTCACATGAAACACAATGAGGCCCTGAGAGGTTGGGTGTCTTGGCCAAAGTTACGCAGACCCTTTGAGGAAAAGCTGTGACTCAACCCTGGGGCTTCTGAGTCTCGGTTCAGTGTTGACTGTATTTCACCACCCCAGGTCATTTTACTGCAGAAGAATGTGATGAATATCCTTAGAAAGAAGATGCTGAAAGACTCTTATGGTAAAATGCCCTATTGTAGCTTAGAGTTTTGGGTGTCTTTTATAGGTTCAGTCAGTCAAAACCTTGTTGAAAGTACTCTTGTGGTTGAGATATAGATGACGCAAAGTACCTGTAAGTCTCTGAGAGGTTGCCACACCCTCATTAGAGTCAGCTACAATGATGCCCCAGAGAGCCTTTGATTTAGTTAATGAAAAAGGGGCAGAGTTCAAGTTCAGGAAATGACAGACAAGATGTGCCTATTTTCCACAACATCTATAATAGTATGTTGATTCCCCTTAAGCATTTCTTATATTTGTTCCAGTCTTGAAACATGCTAGAATTCTCTACTTCCCAATTGCAAAAATTATTAATTGATATCTTGAGATCTATTAGAAATGCAAAAGAACTTGGCTATCACAATTACCATGGAATGTAAAACACAAATACTTTAGTCTCAGTGGGGGGGGGAAATTAAGTATCAAAGCCACTAAAATCACAAAGGATAACAAATCAATACTACCGAAAAGAGATCCTGAGATTCTGAAATAGAATACTCTTTCAAGCTCAAGGAGAAGAAAATTTCACTCTTCGATTAAACTGTATTAACATAAAATGTGCCTGTGCAGAGGAATAGGAGGGAAAATTTAGTGCTCAGAAGTTGCCTTAGAAATCTTGATGCGTACAATGTTTTCCATATAGAAAACAAAAGGTTTATCTGAGTTGAAGCATGAAATACCCCACAGAAGTGCAACAGGAGGTCTGAACTGATAATTTTTGATTTCTATTAAAGATTGAGTCAGATTCTTTCCTCTTCCTTTAATAATGTAAATAAATAATGATCATTATGATAGGGCATTGCACTTCTATTTGAAGTTTTTCAGTTTACAAATATTCTTCAAAATGATCTTGATTAATAATCTGCCGCCCAAGCTTGGGCTGTGTGCCTTTTGGCAGTATTAGGCTCCTGCACTGCTTCTAAAGTTCATGGAAACGGGAACTCTGGAAAAATGGTGCCTGCTGGACCAACAGGACAACAATGTGTGCCTGTATCTCCCCAGCCTTGGCTGCCCTCTGCCTTTTAGAACTGATGTTCAGATGAGTCCCGTAAAATGCCACTTGCGAGAGCATAGGGTAGAAATCAGTTTTCAAGTTTATGTCATATCACCCCTGTGGACATTCTTGGAAGACTGAGGTGCAGCCAACTATCAGATATTTGCCTTTATTTACTTTGAAAAAAATATGTACAATTTTCTAATAATCCCCTTCTCTTATCTATTTTTTTCTTAACTGTTTTGACTGAATTGTTTTATCACTTGACCATCAGTAGACTTAAGTCTAATCTAATCTTTTTGTTTCTTTAAGTAGACTTTTCTAATTGAGTTGGCAATAGTTTGATGAATTGACCAACTTGATCTTTGTTCCTCTAAGGACCTGCATTAGGAGCTGCCTTACCCCCTTCAAGAGTAGGAGACTCACTATGCATGATGGCTTTCCGGAAAGCACTTCATGCATGGGCACCCAGGGGTTAGAGGAAAGGAATATAATATCCAAAATTCCATGTTTACTTGAAAGAAATAGATCATCGAAATGTTCCCTTCTTAGACTGTAGAAATGCTTTAATAATTCTGGAAGGGGTTTTTCTTGATGGCTTGGTTTTCTTCATTTTTCTTTAGCCATTTCTTACTGGAAAAAATTCCCATATGGCTTAAATATTTCATAACTAGTTGCAATGTAATTTTGACATCGCTAGCATTCCTCTACTTTGAAACAAACTCACAGGAAGGTAACTGTTTAAAAGCAATGGACTTGATCAACTTTACTTCTCTACAAATTTAGAACCCATTTGCACTGGGAATTTTAACAGAAATCTGTCCAATTTAAGTATAAATAAAAGAAAATAGAAAAATAATTTTATTTCTGATTATAAATTTTAGGATTATTCTAGCATTTAATCTGAATTAGATTGTCTCTGATTCCATTTAAGTCTAATTCAGCTAGATTCTCATCCTGCTTCTCCATGGCATTTCGTCTCTCAAACATGGAGAGTCTTTTGAAGTTACCAGAAGCTGAACTCATAGAACTGTCTTTGCAGGAAGAAGTTTAAAAATGAAATAAATCCCATGCAGAAAGTCTGACAATGACAGAGAAGAGAAAGCCTCAAAGCTGCATTTCCTTCCCAGGCCTTTAAATTCTACTTACCATTAAAATGATTGAAAGGCAAATGTTCCTGAAAAGGAGCCAATCCATTCCTTTGGGTTTCTCTTGCACACGAGCCCCAGTGAGATTTGATTTTAGTCCTGGTCCTCTGGGTCCTGAATTTGGTTCTGCAGCAAGATGTGCTTCGAGATGCCCTTTTAGGAAGGCATGGGCGATAGCTCTGGTGCTCTCTGGGCAGAGGAATGAAGATGTTCTATAATCACTCTGTTTCCCCACCCCAAACTCCTGGGCTGGTCTGGAAGGCTGGCATTGTTTGGGCTCTGGGTAAGAACATGGACACACCTTGATTCTTATTGCAATGAAACCCTTTGTTGGACACCAAAGAAAAATCTTACAGAGTGAGGACAAGATTTACAGGGAAGATACCCAATGAATAATAAATTACTCACAACATGAAAAATAATTAAAATGCTAGAGCCTATCATCATTCTGAATAAAATTAGTAGGCTTCTTCTTACTGCCAACATTGTAAAAGCAAAATTACACATACTGACAACACATGCACACATATGTCCACTACAGAACCAACTTCAAGAAATGACTCTGAGCAGAGGTCATTGTGAAAAGGTACCAGATCCAAAGCATGGTGTAAGGAGAAAGACAGAATCATGAACTCTCATCTCTTGATTCAGGTGATTCCTACTTTCCTCCTTAAGAAATCCTACAGTTGAATTGCATTTCTCAATTTTAAAGACGTTGTGAAAAAATAAGGTTAAGACAAAGAAACCCTGATTTTACTAGTATTTTTGTTTCTGCATTTTAGTACCTTCTTTCCTAAATATAGATTCGAACCTGTATGTGTGGTTTTACATTAACTAAATTGTCTTAAGTTAACTGCAGTACAGAGTTTGCTCCCTCCTCTTGGCATTACCGCTGATAAAAAAGTACATAACATGGGTGAGGAACATATTTTAACCATCTAAGTATTTATTAAGAAGAAGGTGAAATTGGAGTCCTGAGAATGTAAGAGAAAGAGGCCAGAGCAGCATCTAGATATTTCTGAAAATCATTTCCCTTTTTTCCTGTCTCTCTTCCTCTTTGTTACTATGGGTTTAGAATAGGGTATAGTTTCCTCATAAAAAATTGCAGGCTGGCAGCAACATCAACAAACATAAAAACAGAATGTAGTTAAATGTTTTCTAATTGCTAATATGTGTTTGTTGGTTGGGGAATTTCAAAGGGATACTGCATCTTGTCTTCACTACCCCGTTGCTGCAATTCAGAGACAAGGCAGGCTCTCTTTCTAGTAAAGGAATGTGTTCTAAACAGTGTTTGGTCTCTTGAGAATCTTAGTTTAGCGTTTTTAGAATCGTAGGAAAGAGTTGAAGCAATTAGAAGGCTGGCATAGTATCCTAAAATGAAGAGAAATGAATGATATGTTGAAGATGTTTATGAGAAAGAGATCATGACATTATATTTAAGCAAGGGGAAAAAAATGAATTGTTACAAAGAGGCAGTATTTGGATAGCTCTGCCCAATCCAAAGCTTATAGTTGGAGATATCTGGCTAATTAAACAATATCTACGCTGACGTGCTAAAACGTGTGTGTGGTATCATGTTTTAAAATACATCCTCAGGTGGTCCTTGAGATTGTCCAGAATGGCTAACACACATGCATTCACTGGGTGGTTTCTTAACCCACTATTTCTTTGTATGCTAGAGGGGTCTTTAAGCCAAGAGTTGTGGAAAGCTAACCTTGAGTAAATAAGCATTTAAAAACTATTTTGTAACTGTTTATATCCAACTGGGCTTTCTTTGTTTTCAGGAATTTTTGTCCAGAGTTTCAAAATGTGGTAATTGTATCTGCCATAGAAAAATTTTCTTTTATAGCTAGCTCAGGACAGCATTAAATTGTTTTCACTTTTGAGATATATCCCCCATCAATACTACCAGTGAGCTCTTGGGACTCAGGGGCATTTTCCCCTTGTTTCTCAATATGCAGGAAGCACAAATGCACCTTTTCATTGGCTATAACTGCAGTGTGGCCGTGTTTTTATTTTTGTACAAAGCACTTGACTTATTTTGGAATAAAGCAGGATGATGAGAATTTGCAGTGTATCCTTGTGTGGAGAAATTTCTTGGCTAACAGTGTATATTTCTGTCCCTAGAGACACAGCACAAACAGCTACGGAGATGATTTGTGTCTTGTGGAAATTTAATGGGCAATACTGTTTAAGATTTGGATTACAGAAACATAGGAGGAGAATATAATGTGTCTCAAATAAAAGGAATTTCAGGCTTAAAAATAATATGGCTGACACCTTATGTGCCAGCAAGTTCATCCTGCCCCATGTACATAAATTCCTTTTTGGTGTCTGAATCAAAAGAGAAATATGAGAGGACGGTAGAGAATATGTAGAAACTCAGTGCTTCCAGTACTATGCTCTGGGTCATCAAGCAGAAATAGATGTGGGAGGCCTTTGATTGCAATGGGAATTGCTGCAGAACAGTACAAAATGAGAGAAGCCAGTAGGGATTCTTTAGTGGATTTATGCTTATAAGCAGTGAGTCAGTCAGAGCTCAAGAAGGAACTAAGGGTTCAGGGAGAAGTCAGTAACTGTCATGATGGTTCTATTTTCTTAACTACTTCCATGCAGGCTCTGAGGCAAGCTATAATAGTGTATTACACTAACATGCATGGTACAGAAAATTGACCATTGTTTAGCCACCTAGAAATTTATTTTTGTTTTATTTCAGATGATCGTTGAATTATAGTTATTTAATTTGCCTAAGAGAATTAATGAAATGGGTCTAGATCCCTATGTGTTATTGTTTTCCACAAGGGGAAATGACACTGTTCTCTTGCTGTGACCAATGGAGATATTTTGCAAGAGTTTCCACCCTTTGTTTACACTATGATTGGTTGATTTCTTTTGAAATATAAAATTTTCTATCTACCTGAATTGCTGTTCATAGGGTGAGAGTCAAACAAAAGAAACAGCAGCGATAGAAATAGGTACTAGATCATTTAAGTGATTCCTCCAGATTTTCCCATTTATGACTCCTCATTTCAATGGTCCCTGGAACTTGAGTCTGGAGATTACTATCATGAGCAGATGTAAAAGGTTCTGCAGTAACTGAGAAGTGGCCGCTTGGTGTCCCATCACCTTGTTTGCAGTTACGCCTTGGGAGAGTTGTAGGGATGATGTCAAAGTAGAATCCCAAGAGGATTTCAGTTAATGAAACAGCAGCCATTCTGTTTCTCTTGTGGGGTACCAGCTATCATAGAAACAAAGCATGCTTAAAGATGCCGTAGAGGTGACCTAATCCAATCTCTCCTCTCCTCCTTTTCTCCTACCCAGGTCATAGGTATAGCCCAGAGAAGCTGCACAATTTATTAGCGCCAAAGATGGGGAAAGAATTCCACCTCCTGATTTATAGTCAATTTATGTAAATATCAAGCCACTTTTCAGCATCGGCAAGAAAGAATTGATGACTGAATGTCATTGTCTTCTAAAAAAACCTTTCCATATCTGAGAGTTTACCAAATTATTGAGTTTAATAGCTGGCTCTGCAAGCAGAATTTTTTATGTAAGTTTGTCCTATTATTTATGTTTGATATCAAACCAGTAGCATTTCGTTTGCTTATATGAAAGTATACATTGAATTTCAGGGATGCTCTTGATATTTAGTTATTGTTCTTATGCTTCTGTAATGTTGTCTTACTCACTTCCACAGTAGTAGATTTTCATTCCATTTATCATATCCATCTAGCACACAGTAAGTGCTTTGACACATATTTTTAAAAACAATATCACAGAGGATAGCTAATTCAATACGTTCCAGTACAAATTCTTCTTTGAAAAAAAAATGTAATCTATACAGGCAAAGATATTATAAAAATGATGTTAGGGCAAAATTTTCCATCGAATTGTCATCGTTTAGGGTTACTGGTGGATATTATTTAAGTATCCAAGGGCAACTCTATTTCTTGAAAGCAGGTGTTAGAGGAAAGAAAATTTACAAAATATTTTTGGTCCTAAACTATGTTGGTCAAATTCAGTAGGCAGGTAAGTTCTAGAGTTGACTCAGGCTAAAGGGTTTTCATTAGAGTGGGCCTGGGGGCATGGACAAAAGGTAAACAAAGCTTGTCTTGGTTTTGACCTGGAGCAGTTGCTATGAATACATGTGTGAGTGGTCACCTTGAGATAATAGCAGTGAAGATATACAACTGTCTCCTCATTAAAGCCAATTTATGTATGGCAATCAGGGTGCCAGCAAACCAGGTTATTTAGTGGGTGTTAGGAATCATGGAGATTAAACGTCAGTTTCCTGAAGAGTTGTGTTAATACCATAAGGATGATATTAGTTTACACCCTAAAAGCATACTTACACCCTGACACAGGTACCTTGTTGATTCTCTCTGTGACTTCATGTCCTCAGCGTGGGATGTCTTCCAAATAAGTGCAGAAAGAATAGCGTGGCTTCTAGTTCTGTATTAATTAAAGTATATTACTTACATACTTATTACGTACTTGCTGCATACTTATCCCGAAAAATGCCATCTTAGTCCGTCCCCAATCCCCAATCATGACGATAGTAGCAGTTTCACAGTGTAATAATTACCTAGACATCACTCTGGCTACTTCTGTGGCACTGGCAGTGCCCATCTTTGGCCTGTTTGTAATGTGTATATAGTTTACCTGTGATGTTGTTAGTAGTTATGCATCTAGCAGAATCTCAATAGGATCTGGGCTCAGGTTTTTTGGGAAGAAATCAGGAATAGGAAGGTCAAAAGCTAAGCAGTGCTTTCTAAAATATACTTCTTGGGCCACTTGCACCAAAATTGTATAGTCTCGTATGTATAAAATGCAGTTTTCTTGACTCCAGATTTGCTGAATCAGAATCTCTGGAGATGGGACCCAGAATTATTCGTTCTTAATACGCTTTCCAGGTAATTCTGAGGTTGCAGGCTAAAGTTTAAGTACTACTGAGCCAGGGTAATTAACCTGGGCCTGTGGGTGGCCTGAAGAGAAATGGCAGCAGGCAAACATGGATATTTTTCTAATATGATAAGATTAGCATCTCTTCATAGGGGGTATTAGCCATTTGTGTTTCTTTTTATGTGAAATATTTACTTCCTTTTTCCTTTTTCCCATTGTGTTACTGATGTCTTTCTTATTGACTTATAGACACTCTTTGTATGTAAGGGAAATTAACCCCTGACATATGTGTTGCAACTATTTTTTACTTCATTTGTTTGCTCTTTCAAGTTTGTTTTGGATTTTTTTTGCAAGTGAGAATGATTACATTTTTATATAGAACAGGCTGTTATAAACAATCCTGCTATTAGTTCCCTATTGCTGTGGTAACAAATTATCACAAACTTAGTGACTGAAAACAACACAAATTCATTATCGTACAGTTCTGAAGGTTGGAAGTCCAAAATGATGGGTCTCATGCCAGCAGGACTGCCTTCCTTCTAGAGACTCTAGGGATGAATTCCTTTCCTTGCCTTTCTAGCTTCTCAAGGACTCCTTCATTTTTTGGCTCATGGCCCCTTGCCGGCAATCCCATCATCTCTGCACATCCCCTTTTATGTCATGTCTCCACTATATCAGCACATGTGCACAGTTTCCTGGGTGTATACAAAGAGCAGAATTTCTGGGTTGT